TCTTCCTGTGGATATTTTGGGCTAGATTAATCTTTGTTGTGGGGGGCTGTCCAGTGCATTATAGAACATTTAGCAGCATCCGTGGCCTCCACTGCCGAGAAGCCAGTAGCGTTCTCCCCCAAGTCATGACTATCAAAAATGTCTGCAGACATTGCCAAATGTCCTCTGGATTTAGCGGTATGAGGAACAGTGTCTATGAGTCTCCTGGACTTTGCCTCGTGGTCACAAGATGACTGCCACAGCTCCAGACATCCCACCCATGTTTAGGCCAGAAAGAACAATAAGGGTACCAACTGCCTCTGTATCTTTTAGCAGAAAAGTGGAAGTTTTCACAGAGGCCGCAACAGGCTTTCACTTAGGTCTCATTGGCCCCAACTGGGTGACATGACATGGCCACCCTCTGCTGCAAGGGAAGCTGGAAGAGCAATGATATATTTTTCCAGCCCTTTAGTGGTAATGGGTAAGGAAGAAGAGGGTAGGAGTGGCTGCCCACAGTGCCCGCCACTATCCTGGGACTTTTATACAAGGGCACCTGTCTTCACCACTCTTAAACATCAAGACTATGTCACTTTACTGGGGTTGAGCTGAAGGTTTTAAAAAGCAGTGAGATCTTGGACCTGGGAATGTCTTTTGCAATCTGACTTGTCTGGAAATTCCATATCTACATCTCAGGCCTGCCTCCCGTGGTTCGATAACCTCTTCACTCCTTCCCCTTGCTCATGCACTCACACTTTCCCAGCCTTTCCTGGGTTCCTGGGACAAGATTTCCCTCCGACTGAGAAGTTAGGGAAGCCTTGGCTAGCCAGGGATGGAAAGAAGATCCCAAGTCAGTGTCCCAGTGACAGCACTGCAGGGGTGACCGAGATCCGGTGACCAGTGCCAGGCCCTGTGCTCTGCCCATGGAATCACAGGATCCTCCCACTGACTATGTGGCAAGCGCTATAATTATCCCCATGTATAGAAGGTTTGTTAAGGATGATGGCCAGGGCCGCACGGCTAGTGAGGGTAGGGCTGGGAGCCTAGGCCCCCTGGCTCCAGCCCTGCTCCTTGTCCCTTCTCTGTCCAGCCTTGGGGCAGCCTGTTCATGGCCACACCATCCAGGACCACATCAGTATGGGTTGTGGCTCTGAGAGCTGTCTGATAAATGGCCTTTGCCATTTATCCCTTGGTCAAGGCTGCCGGCAGCACAGGCTCAGAGAGCCCGGGGCTGGTCAAGCCTTGAGCCTGCTCTGTCCTGAGCTTGCCCACCTATGGAAACAGGGGTTTGGACTAACTGCCCTTATTGATTCATGAATCAGGAGAGCAGGGCTAGAACTGCCAACACCCCCATTGCAGCTCAGGTGACAGGTGGGGTGAATGGAGTCATTTCCTCCCTGAAGTTCTAATCCTGACTTTCCCTTGCCCCACTTGGCTGTGTGGTCTTGGGCACTTCACTTAGCCTCTCTGAGGGTGCACCTGCCCCACCCTAAAGCAGGAAGACAAGGTCTTCTAAATGCTGTTAGGGAACAAAATGAGATCAGGGACCCAGCTTGCCGTGAACTGCCCTTGGTGGCATTAGAGAAGCCACGCTGAGCCTCTGTCCTTTCCTTTTTTTTTTTTTTTTTTTTTTTAGACAGAGTGTTGCTCTGTTGCCAGGCTGGAGTGCAGTGGCGCCGTCTCAGCTTGCTGCAACCTCCACCTCCTGGGTTCAAGTGATTCTCCCGCCTCAGCCTCCTGAGTAGCTGGGACTACTGGCGCACACTACCACGCCCAGCTGTTTTTTATATTTTTAGTAGAGACGGGGTTTCCCCATGTTGGCCAGGATGGTCTCAGTCTCTTGACCTCATGATCTGCCCACCTCGGCCTCCCAAAGTGCTGAGATTACAGGCGTGAGCCACCGCGCCCAGCCCCCTCCCTCTTACAACTGGGCCAAGAGCACCTACGTATGACAAAGGCGGTTTCCAGATTATCACTTAATGTATGTAAGACGCCCAGTCCAGGACTAGCCCAAAACAGCCATTCCAAGGCAACTGACCTCGATTGTTATTAGTGATTTGTAAAGAATTAACCACATGAATGGACCCAGCACTTAGAAAGTCCTCATTAAATGGCAGGAGCTGTATTTCTCACTTCTGAGCCTTTGCATTTTTGTTCCCTCCACTGCTCCCTCTGTGCAAATGGCTGTCTCTCTCATAGCTCCCAGAGGCCTTCCCTGTGATCACCAGACCTCTTGGCCTCCCCTGGGCCCCTCCTCTTGTGCTCTACTCAGCACTTGCCTAGGAAATTTTCCCTACATAGAACTCTAATACTAAACATTTTCATTCATGCATGGTCTCTTGTCCCCTCTTAAAATGTAAGCTCCAAAGGGATGTTTGTTTCCTACTTGTTGTGTCCCTGGGACCAAGAACATGGGCCTGGCATGTGACGGGCCATTCGTAAGTGTGTGTTTGGAGTCATTCATAAATGTGTGTTTGAGGCTGGGTGCGGTGGCTCAGCCTCTAATCCCAGCAATTTGGGAGGCCAAGGCAGGAGGATTGCCTAAGCACAAGAGTTCGAGACCAGTCTCTGCACTAAATATAAAATTATCCTGGCATTGTAATACTCACCTGTAATCCCAGTTACTTGGGAGGCTGAGGCAGGAGGATGGCTTGGAGCCGGAGAGGTCGAGGCTGCAATGAGCTATGATCGCTACACTCCAGCCTGGGCAACAGGGCGAGACCTTGTCTCAAAAAAAAATTTTTTTTAAAGTGTGTGTTTGGGTGAATGACTGATTGTTAGGCAGAAGTTGGTGACCCGTGGCGACATGGGGCCGCCGGAGGGGCGGAGAGTGGTGATCCAGAAACCTAAGGGGGCCGAGGGCGAAGGAGTGCGACCGGACCCGCAGCTGGGCAACCGCGTCTCCAGCCTCCACGGTCCTGTCCCGCCCCCTTCCGGGCAGGCAGAGGCCCCGAGGCTGCCCGCCGCCTGGGCCCGGCCCCCGCGGCAGCAGCCGAGCGGCCGCACCCCTACTTGGGGCTGTCTTGCCGGGAGGGGCGCGGGCGGGGCGGGCCCGGGCGGCGCTGGGACTTGTAGGCCGGGAGCCCGGGCGCCTCCGGGCTGAAGCGCGTGGCCGCGCCATCGACGGGGCTCCAGCCCGCCCAGGTAACGCGACGGCGGGGGACAGCCTCGGAAAAACTGACGGGGAAACTGAGGCCCGGTGAAGGGACCCAGCTGGCCTAAGAGCATGCAGCGGGGCAGTGGCCGCCTCCCCCGGCCTCTAGGGGGCAAGTGAAGGTCACACTTAAATGAAAGTTTTCAAAGACGCTTCGAAGGGCCTCTGGCTGGGCTGGAGCTTTCCCCACTCCACCTCCTTCCATCGTGGATACACTCAGCAGACATATCCCAGAGCCCTCTCCTTGCCAGGCCCTCCAGCTCGGGCGAAACATCCCAAGTCTGTTCTCGCGGCGCCCAAATAGCAGGGGAGGGGCTCCAGGCAGGCGAATACACAGGGCGGGGAGGGGGGAAGCTCCGCGAAGGAAAGAGAGGAAACCACGCGGGATAAAGGGCAAGGGGGGCCGCGAGCAGGGGCAGGAGCGTCAGGAACGAGGAATGAAGCGAGAAGGGAAGAAAGGAGGCCGAGGCTTCCGGAAGACTCGGGGTCCCATCCCCATTGAGCAGAGGGCTAGAGCGGGACCTGGGGGAGGGAGAGGTCAGAGGTCAAGGCTGCGCGTGGAGCGTGGGCCGTGGAGTGGGGGAGGGGACGGACAGACTCCTCCCCGCCGGCAGCCAGGGCAGAGGGTGATGGAGGAAACGCGGGGAACTCCTCGGTGCTGGAGGAAACGTGGGGAACTCCTCGCCGGCCTCGCGGTCCCCCACAGCCCACGGAGTGCCACTCCCAGTCCCCACAGACTCCACCTGCGTCGTCCTGTGCTGAGGGGAGGCCGCAGGGCTGGGGCGGGGAGTGACCCGGCTTAGAGCTGCTGTTCCCCAGCTGCACAGGTCCCAACCGCGGGTTCTAGAGATGAGGCGGGCTTGAGGTCCCCCAGTCCTGGCTTCAGAGGTGGAGAGTGTGACCCGCAGGTCCAGGATCCCGGGGCCTGTGCAGTCACACGGCCCTTCCCTTCGCTCAGAAAAGCCCGGGGCTGGGTTTCATGCTCAACCACTGCCAACTTGAAATTCCTAGGTTTTGAATTAGGGGCCCCGCGTTTGCATTTTGCACTGGGCCCTGAAAATTCTGTGGCTGGCCCTGCCTGGTGTGAAGCTCACAGAGCCCCAGTATAGGCCGCCCTTCTATGGCTGGGGGCCGGGATGAGGGACCGGGGTCTGCTCTCAGCTTGCCCCCAAGGGTCCCTGACACCAGCCCAGAACGGGGTGGAGCTGGAAAGAGCCCACAACTGCTTCCTCTGCCCAACCGCTTCTATGGCTGCACCCTGGTGTAGCTCCCTCCGGGGTCGTATGCTGTATGTTTACTGGCGGAATTGTTTCTCAGTCCTAGACGCTCCGTGGGGCCAGGGAATATGATCTGTGCTCCGCTGCAGCCTCGCACCCAGTGACGCATGGGGGCCCTGGTAAATATCGGTCGGATGAACTAATCTTACACATAAAACAGAAATCATTTCACTTTTTTAATACGACACGTGGCTGTTCCCTAAGTCGCCGTGGGTTAAATACAGACTCAATAAACAAGATGCTAAAAACCGTTTATATTTAATTCACCAGACGGTGCGCTCCACGAGGTCAGGGGCCTGGCCCCCCTGGTTCAGGGCTGTGCTTAGTGCCTGCAACCAGGCGGGCCCGCGGGGGCAGCCTGGAGAGAAAGGCGCGCCTGGCGCGCCCAGCGCCCCCAGGCCCGGATCCGCCTTCAGCCCGCGTGCGCGCCCCTCCCCCCCATCTCCGCGCGCCCGGGCGCGGCTGGGCGGGGTTGGGACTACGCTTCCCGGCGGTCCCCGCGCGCCTGGGGCGGGGCGGGGCCGGCTGGGGGCGGGGCTGAGCTGTCTGGGGGCGGGGCCGGCTACAAAGCCCGGGGGCGGCGCCGGGGCGCAGAGTCCCCGCAGCGCCGGTCGGGAGCGCATCGCGGCGCAGCTCGGCGCGCACGGCGGTAGCGGCGCGCGAGTGGTCGGGCCTGGCGGCTGGACGGGCGCCCCTCGCTGCCCCGCGCGCTCCCCGCCGCCCCCCATGAGCACAGCCCCGCGAGGCCCGGGTCCGTAGGCGGCGGGGCGCCCCCCCCCATGCTGCTGCAGCCCGCGCCGTGCGCCCCGAGCGCGGGCTTCCCGCGGCCCCCGGCCGCCCCCGGCGCCATGCACGGCTCGCAGAAGGACACCACGTTCACGAAGATCTTCGTGGGCGGCCTGCCGTACCACACCACCGACGCCTCGCTCAGGAAGTACTTCGAGGGCTTCGGCGACATCGAGGAGGCCGTGGTCATCACCGATCGCCAGACGGGCAAGTCCCGCGGCTACGGCTTCGTAAGTGGCCCCCGCGCCCGGGCCCGCACCCCGCCGCACACCTTATCGCGGCCCGGGCGCCGAGTCCACTCCGGGGCACACGCCCAGCCGGCCCGCGGCCGCCCCCGCCCCAGGCGCCTCCCGCCGGCGCCCGCACCTGCCGCCTCCCCCGGGCGCGCTCCTGCCGGTCCCGCCCCCACCACCCCGGGCCCGGGGCCCTGTCCCCACCCCCACCCCCACCCCCACCCCCACCCCTGGTTTAAAAGGGAGAGCCGCTGTGTTCAATTAGGACTCCTAAGTTGGTAGGGAGGTTTTGGAGCCAGAGGGTACTCCGGGTTTCCTGGAGCAGCGGCGGGTGAGGAGCAACGGCTCCACCCCGGGGTGTTAGGAGCCCTTCGGCCTCCCCCATATTTTCAACAGCCCCCTCAGCCACCCCAAATAAACATCAGCTTAAGTAAAAACGGTTTGAAGACACTTTCCTACTTCCCTTCCAAGTGCAACGTCGCAAACTCCTTCCCAGGGGGAAGTCTCGGCCCTCGCTGGTGGGCAGTCCAGGCAGCCCCCCCACCTCCCTTCGGGGTTCGTTTTTGCCCTGTCCCCGCAGGGGATTATTTTTGTCCTTGAAGGCCACATTTCCCAGGCCTTGAACTTTGAGGAGAGGAGCTGGAATCCAGGAGGCATCTTTGTGGGAGGGCCCCAGGTAGGGGTCAGAGGGGCTTTGGCTCAAGGACCCTAGGTTACAGGCACCCTCAGAGGAAGGGAAGAGAGGGGTGGCAGCATCCGGTGCCAGGGCGGAGCCCTCTGCCCCTTTTGCCCCTAGTTTCCCTCACGGCAGCCCCTGATGTGTCTGTGGCTCCTCCAGGTGACCATGGCAGACCGGGCGGCAGCTGAGAGGGCTTGCAAAGACCCGAACCCCATCATCGACGGCCGCAAGGCCAACGTGAACCTGGCATATCTGGGCGCCAAGCCTCGGAGCCTCCAGACGGGTGAGAGCTTGTGTTTTCCTGCTTGGCTCTTCTCGGTTTCTATATTGGGTGTCGGTATCTGTCGAGTGGAAAGAGGCCCTCCTTCCTCGCCCCAGCAGTGGCAGCCGGCTATCATGTGCCTGCAGAGCCGCCACAGGGCAGCTATCCCCCGCTGGAGCATCTAGACCCCTTCTCACAGCGTGTGGCCCACAGAAGGGGGCGGGGGGGGTGCAGGGAGGGTACTGCATCCCAGTTGCCAGCTGTCTTCGCAGGAGGGAGGAAGTGGCCAAGGGGCCTGGAGGTTGGGAGTGCCGAGACCAGTGGCTGCTGACACCTGCGTCACTGGCTGCCACACTTCAGAGGTGTGCTTTGGGGTTCATGAGGGGGAGGCCTGGGAGGGGAGAGGAAGCTGATGATCCCTTTTGACTAGAGGTGTGTGACTTGTGGGATTCTGCCACCATGTGTGCAGCCCCTGAGACATCGCTCCTGCAGCAAGGCCAAGTCCCTGATTGTTCTCTCGTTTTAGGCTTTGCCATTGGGGTGCAGCAGCTGCACCCCACCTTGATCCAGCGGACTTACGGGTGAGTGGATGTGGCTGGCTTGGGGTGGGCAGTCCTTGGAGATGAAGTGGAGAGGGCCTTGGGCTTCCTGGGTCTGGAAGGCTGATGAAATGACAGTTTTCAGACATGTGATTGCGTTTAAGCCAAGGGAGTGAAGAGAAGGCAGATTGCATTTCTCCATCCCTGGCAGAGGCCGCACCACCTAGGGGATCGTGAGCCTTGGAGCCTGCCTGCCTTGGTGCACACCCCAGCTCCCTTTGCTAGGTGTATGGCCTCAGTTTTGTCACCTGTAAAATGAGAGTGGGCGCAGCACATCTGAGTTCTCTGAATAGAGCGTTTAGGGTGGGTCTGGTGCAGGTCACGCCCTATTAAAGTGTTTGCTGATGACTCTTAGGGACTGGCAGGCTGGGCTCTTCCCCAGGCGCTCCTGTCACCTGCTCTAGTGCTGGGGCAGGTGGTGGCAGTAGGCCATTGCCTCCCAGGTCTGATGTTTGAACGCTGCTGCAGATACGATGTGTTCGGGGCGGAGGCCACCTGCCTGAGTGGCCTGGCCTGTGGGCTTCTAGTCTGACTCATTTAGAAGCAGCACGTCCCACTCTTCTCCATCCTAAAATGCCTCCCACTTCCCTGCCCTTTTTAAAACATCTGATAAGGCCTGGCAGCTGCTTGGGGAAGGACACGCACACTTAAGGGATACAAAGGGTCCTGCCTTGTGTCCTGCCTCCCCACCCCGGTGATGGATGGGAGCTGTCTGCCCTAGCACTGTGGCATATTGATGGGGTTGGAGTTGGGGGGGAAGGCAGCTCAGAGACCACCACCCCTTTTAGGGCATTGGCACTTCATGAGCTTTCTGAATCCGAATCCCTAATGTCATTTGATCATGTGTGTACACACACACGTGTGTGCACCGTGTAGATACCATGGAGAGACACACAGCTTGAGGAGTAACCTGCCTCACCGCGGCAGTGTGAACAAGGGGCCTGTGGAACCGGGCTGAGCCTGGCTCCCAGGCGAATGGGTCAGAGGCCCCAGCAGAAGTTGTGCCCACTTTTTGGGAGCGCTTGGGGTTACTCGGGGGCTCCCTGCCAGCTTCCGTGTGTACTGGTGGATGTGTGCAAGTATGGCAATGGGAGGAGCTGCTGGTTGAGGGGTGCTGGAGGGTGGTGGGGCCCTCCTAGCCTGTGTGAGTGGCCGGGCAGCTCAGCTTCCTGCCGGGGTGCCTCTGTCTTCCTGGGAAGGGAGTATGTAGGGTGGTGGGAGCAGGCCGCCCTGTCCATCTCATCCTGGAATCTGTTTTGTAGATGTCTAGAATCGTCTCAGAGGGTGTTTGGGGACACTCCAGCCTTCATGCCTTCACCAAGATTCTTCCTCTGGGGTTCAGTCCACAAGAAGAGGGTGTTCCTTGTTTTTCAGAACCTTGGCTCCGTTCCCCAGGCCCACAGCAGGCGCCTGGGGGCCTGGGCTGGGCAGGAGCCGCTGCCCAGAGGCGAGGGTATGCGCCTCCAGTGCCTGCAGCTCTTTTCTGCTTACAGTGGGATGAGGCCTTCCCACCTGCATCTGGGCTCTCTCTGATCCACGCAGCTGCCTGTGGGACTCCATAACCATCAGTGCTCGGCCTCTGGGGCTTGCAGATGTGGGTTCGAATCCTGACTTTGCCGCTTACCAGCTGGGTCTGTCTTGGCAGTGGCATCCTCCTTATCCAGAAAACAGGAACATTAACTGCTTAAAACAGTGGACTGAAACTATTCTTACTTTATAGGTGGGGAAACTGAGGCAGAGAAAGGCTAACCACATGTCCGGGCCCCGGGAGGGGGTGAGGTAATAGACGTCTGGGAGGAGATTAGAACACAGGTGGTGGGTGCCTGAACATATGCTTTCTTGGTGGGGTAGAGTGGGAAGGGCCCCGACCCGACCTTTCCCTTGCTGTCCTGGAGTCCTGTGAACACCACCCATCCAGAAGCAGTTGGGATCGGTCACAGAGTTTGCCACTGTGTGCACCCGACTTCAGGCGACGGTGTTTTGTAACTAAATCTGCTGGCTGGCCGTTAATACCTGTGACGGTGAAGAGGCCGCAGACTCTATTCGTTGGTGCCAAAGGGTGGAGACCCAAACAGGGACGGTGTCAGAGGGACCATCCGCTCTTGGTTTCCTGGGAGATCTGAACTCAAGCCTCTGAGAATTGCACCGCCTGCTGCCCCTGCCTCTAGGCCTTACTGAGGTGGGTGGGGGGAGGCTCCCGGGTGCAGCTCCTGGGTGCAGCGGGGCGGGCTGCCTGGGTCAGCTGTCTGCCCCCAGCCCCCGCCCACTGGAGAGCTGGAGAGCTGGGCCGTCAGCGTCCCTTTTGTCTTTGTGAACAATCAGGCCCCGGGAGCACAGCCGGGCCTGACTCAGCGGCCAGTTTTGTCGGCCTTGGGCTGGCAGCGAGGCCCGCCCTGCTGTTGGCTGAGGGCATGGAGGGAGGTGGGAGCCAGGAGCCCGGGCAACTGAGGGTTGTCCACCAGTTAACCCCTTCCATGCCTAGCTGAACTCTTCCTCGACTTTCTGACCCCGACCTTTCATACCTTGCCCTGGACAACTCTGAAGATCCCACAGCTCTGCTTTTAGGCAACACCCTGTGGAATCTTCGCCTGGCTGGGTCTTAAATGTTAGTTTAGGATGATTTACCAAAGAACTTTACACTTTATGCTATTTGCCGGGATTTCCTTGTGTCTTTCTTTTTTTTAAGTTGAACAGGCTCTGTGAGACCTAACTCACCTGTGCATTTCTGACTAACTGTATGTGGCGGGGCCAACGTCCGCGGTTTGGAGGAGCCTTCCTCTGCGGTGGCAAGTGCAGGAGCCGGTGGCCCTGGCCCGCCAAGGGTGTCTGCCAGCTGAGCGTGTCCGTCACCTGCTGGAGGGAGGGGAGCTGCAGCCGTCTGGAGAGGGTCTGTGCCCAGGCAGAGCTTAGTCTGGCCTGGAAGGTGCCCTGGTGTCAGGGGGTGTCTGTCCATTCCTGGGCTGAGGGCACTGGGAGTAGAGGTTTATCCTGGGCCTGACTGCGCCCAGAGCCTCTCCTTGGGTTATTTTTGAAGGACGAGCTGCTTCCCTGGGTGCAGCTCTCCCTGCCTGTTAAGGGGGCCTGACTGTGGCCTTGACTCCCGTTCACTGAGTGCCTCGCTATGTACATTCTAGAATGTTGGAAGGGGGTGGAACATCCCTGGCCTCCACCCCTAGAAGCTAGTAGCATTGCCTCCCCCAAGTCATGACTACCGAAATGTCTCCAGACATTGCCAGTGTCCCCTGGGTTTAGTGGTATGAGGACGAGTATCTGTGAGTCTCTTGGACCTTGCTTCATGGTCACAAGATGACTGTCACAGCTCCAGACAACGCAGCCACATTCAGGGCAGAAAGGACAATAAGGGATAGTACGAACTGCCTCTGTCTCTTCTAGAAGAAAAATGGAAGCTTTCACAGAGGCCTCAACAGGCTTCCACTTAAGCCTCACTGGCCACAACTGGGTGACAGGACATGGCCACCACAGGGGCTCTGATATGAGAAGACAGGCTCCTGGGACTCCGGGGTGTCAGGTAGAGGCTGTATCCAGGAGCAAGGGCCCCGGGGTCTGCCTGGGCTTGAGGCCAGGCCCAGCCCGTCTCTGCAGGCTCCTGCCCATCTGTGAGTGAGAACATTAACACTGCCTTCTCTACAGGGCCAACTTGACTGTGTAGAGGGCCTGGCCATGGGAAGTCACAGTTTGTCAGTGACGCATCTCTTGCCGGCCCTGCTCCAGGGTCTGTTGCTTGACTGACTGTGCAAAACCGAGGCTCAGAGCAACTGAGAGACTTGTTGGGTTCATACATCCCGGGATGGTGGGGCCTGAGCTGGGGGTTGCGAGAGTCTTGTCCCTCCCCCAAGGACTCAGCATCTCCCTCTGGCTAGATGGCAGCTCTTGAATGAATCAGAGCACAAGGCCCCAAGACTGATGATGGCCGTGAGACCCTCTCCCAGGCATGTGCCTGCCCCACTGCGTGTATAGTTTCAGGGACCTCTACATCCTTCGTGTGAAGGTCTCCGGTGCCCATGTTGGCTGGGTAGTAGATGGCTGCCCTTGCCATCACGGGGCCTTGGTGTGTGCATGCCACGGGGCCTGGACAGAGCACCTGGGTCCCCAGGGTAAGAGGAGGGACTGGGGAGGCAGTGATGGGAAGATGTCTGTCTCCTTGAGAGCATGGGATGCGCAAGCTGGGGAGAGCGTCAGCAGCCACTCCCAGCATCAGTCATCCATCAGGTGTTTATTGAGTGCCTGCTGTATGCCAGGCCTGGTGCCAGGGATCCTTTGAATAAGAAAGACACAGTCCCCGATCTCAGGGTGCTCACATTCTGTTTGTGTACTCATGGGCCCGCGTGGCGATGCGTGCAGTTAAACAGGAAGCTGGCGGAATGAGTGCCTGTGTGGGGACCTCACAGTCCCACGTCTCGAGTACAGTGGTGGGGAGATGTGTCTGTGTGTGTGATAAAGCTTCACAGTTCGTGTGTAACTACACGTGACGTATAAGGCTAGTGCGTGCAGAAGATGATACAGTGTGCCGAAGGCCTGCAGTCCGGGTCATAGCACTGTGCCTGGGTTAGTGTCCTGGTTTTGCTAATGTCCTTAGTTACTCTGATGTGCCCTTGGGGGATGGAGGAGGCAGGGTACACAGGACCTCTCTGTACTGTTTTTGCAACTTCTTGGGAGTTTTTTATTATTTTAAAATACAAAGTGAAACAAAGCCAGATGAGCTGTTTGCAGGTGATGGCGTGTGTGTGAGTGTACGCATGCGCACGTGTGCGAGCGCGCTGGGGAAGGCCCCACGGAGGATGGGGGAAATGGGCCCTATAGGCGTCTGGGGAAGAGTAAGCAGGCCAGGCCCAGGGTGACAGGCGAGCCGCAGGTCGCTGTGGCGGGCACAGGGTGAGCACCGCAGGGCAGAGGCAGAAGCTGAGGTCAGAGCCAGGCGGCATGGGGGCTGGGAGGAAGTGACTCCCCCACACACCGTGGCGTCACGTTTTCACCCTGAGGGTGTCTCGTGGTGGCCCCGCTGCCCGCCCCCCCCCCCCAAGGCTTCCTGTTTGGCAGCTCATCTGGAGCCAGGCGTGGGCTGTGCTGTGGCCCTTCTGGGCAGGCGCCCGTGCCGCACCTGTTGTTTGTCCTGTCTGCTGAAACAGAAAGCAGCCTTTGGGTGGCGGGGGCTCCTCTCCGAGCATGAGTTCTCACCCTGGCTCCCTGCTGGGCCTGGGGAGCCTCTTCTGGAAGCCTTGGGCCAAGGGAGGCAGCTTTGTCTCAGGGCAGAGGCCTGATCACAGACCGAGGTGAAGGCCCAAGCTCCAGCTTTCCTCGTTTCGCCTCAGTTTCACCTTGTGTCCAGGGTGGACAGGCTGAGAACTCCGCAGTGTGCTGGGCACATCAGGACCTTCCCGCTGACCTTGTTTGGGTGGAGTAGGGAGTTGGGCACTGGGTCAGCTCGTCTGACAGATCTTTGCTTGCTTTGTACCTGGCTGGGGACACGTGCCATGGGGGTGAGGGGAGACCCGGTCCCACACCTAACAGTGTTTCCTGCAGCGAGGTTCTGAGAGGAGGAGAGAGACAAAGGAGGTCAGCATGCCTCAGAAGACGACAGGAGCTGGGGAGAGGAAGGGAGCAGCCGGGGAGGCTCAGGGCCCAGCAGGGTGGCCTCAGCTCCTAGAGGACTTTGATGACCCAGGGAGGCACTGCTACCTTACTCCAGGTGACTCCCGGGCCACGCAGGCTCGGAGTGGAGGAGGGGTGGGTCAGTCTGCATTTTTGTTTTCAGAGTGTTTTTGTTTCTGGCTGCTGGGGTGAGCCTGGACTGCCGAGGGTTAGGGTGGTGGTTGGAGGCCCTTGGAGGATGCCCAGTAATCCAGGCATGAGACAAGGGTGCTGCCTGCCCCAGCGGCCCTGGTGAGATATAGTGAGATTCTGGGTACATGTTTTGAAGAACCTGGGACAGAGGAGTCCAAGAAGATTCTGGAGCTTTGGGCCTATGAAATGGGTGATGGGCTTGGCCCTGACTGGGGTAGAGGCTGCTGTGCAGTACAGTTTTGGGGAGGTCAGGAGTTGGAGTTTGGGCAGGTTCAGCTGGAGATGCTGTTCCAGGCCTGGCATTGTCCCACAGAGAGGACGCTTGACCTGTGTCCTGTGACTGGCTGCCCCACAGAACCTGAATGTCCCCAGCTCCCGGCCCTCCCCCTAACAAGTCACTGGGGATTCCCGGGAGGCAGAGCTGTGGCCTGGCTTCCTGCCTGCCGGGCGCCTCGGGGACCTTCCCACACCCAGCCAGGCGGGAGTCAGAGCCCTAAGAGCTGCGGTCTCTCTCTGCCGCGGTGGGGCCAGGCCCCTGGAGAGCAGGGAAAGTGAAATGGGCTCATTTGCCTTTTTCGTTTTTATTTTCAGAGGCGACTTTATGTTCAGAAAATGAGTCCTCGTGGGCCATGGTCGTTATTTTCACTGAGAGCTCTGCTCTGAGTGTGGGCAGCGTGTGTCCCAGGCACCATCTGTGCTTCCCTCGCCCGGCCCGCCGGCATGGGGTTCTCAGACTGCAGGGGCCCAAGCCCTCTGTCTTGGGGGCAGCGTTGGACTCTGCAGCATCCTTAGTTTACAGATGGGGAAATAGAGGCCGGAGGGACTGAGTGATGGTCCATGCGACTTGGACAGACATGGCCAGGATCTGGACTTGGGGCTCTTCCTGCCCTTGGACCCCTGAGTCTCCGTGGACTGAGTCAGCTGGGGTGCTCTTGGCTGTGTGCTGACCCTGGCTGTGCTGGGGTGCAGATGCTGCCTGGGCCACATGTGAATGGGAAGGGAGGCAGGCACTTCAGATTTCCAGTGTGGACCAGGCTCTGGGTCCCCCTGTCCTCTCCTGGGCTGTGGCAGAGCCAGCTCCTTGTGCATGCCCAGCCCTCCCGGGATGGCCTGGCCTTTCCAGCCCTAATGGTGGCCGGTTTCAGTGACTCCGTGATCTGGGAGTTTGGTGTTGCCCAGGCTCCGGCACTAGAGGGAAGCAGAGAACCCCTAAGTCGTCCTTCCGCAAACACCCCGACCCCAGCTAGGTGCCTGTGCCCAGTGTCCAGCGTCACAGAGGGGCTTGGGTGGCATGTGGGAGGCGTGTCCCACCCATTCCCCTGGTTTCTTCCTTGACTCTGCCTGGACTTTGCACAAGTGGTGGGATTAATTCTCTGGGAAACAGATTCGCCTCTGATTGGTGCAAGGCCCTTTTCCGGGATCTTGGTGGGAGGATAGAAGTTTTCTGCAGAGGATGAGGAGGCACAGAAACCCGGTTGTTCTGAGGCCAGAACTTGTAAGGAAACTGGAAGGGAAGGAGGCTCCTGCCCTCTCCTGTGAGGGAACAGCTGGGCCGTGGCTCTGCATCCCTGGGGAACGGATGGGACTCCAGCGGTGGCCGTACAGCGGGCCGATTCCAAAGTGGCTTCTAGAGGAGGGAGCAAGTGTCCTGTCCTGAAGAGGCCGGCGGGCCCTGGCCAGACAGGAGCAGCCCTGATGGGCATTGGGTCCCCCGACCTTTGGGCTCCTACCTGATTGCACCTGGCCTCTGGTCTGTTTTGCTCACCAAGGGTTCTTGTCTGCTGCCCCCTGACCTGGGGCTGAACGTCCTAGGAAAGGAAGGGCCTCTGTTCCTCTCAGCATTCCTCAGGCCCAAGGAGGCATCGATGCTGCTGAGGCCTCTGGGGTGCACAGAGCATTAGATCCTCACAGTAGCCCCCTGGGGTGTGTGGTTCCCTAGAGGCAGTGATGAGGTCACCCGGGGTCGCCAGGCACCTGGCTGGGGAGCAGAGGCTGGTGGGCTGTGCCTGTCTAGCTGTGACTTGCTGGGTGGAGCCGTGCCTGCCTGTCCCTCCAGCCTACCCAGCCCTGGCTGCTCAAGGCTGAACTGCTTTCTGTGCCTTCTTGGGGCAGGGACTCTTGGCCTGGGAAGCAGTGGCCATTCCAAGGCGGGGGGCCCTTTTGCCTCCCAGCTGTCTGCAAAGCTGGGGCCTGCCTCAGACAGTCAGCACTGGGCACCTGCTGTGCTGGGGCACTTGGGATGCAGCGGCCGAGACCCTGCTTTTGTGGGGAAGACATTGTGCAAGGTAGATGACAAGGGGGCTTCTGATCATAAGAAACAGAGCCGCGGCTCAGGGTGGGCCCCTGAGGGGTGAACTTTGAGCTGTGGGAAGAAGCAAGTGCATAGGTACGAAGGTCCTGTGGTGGGAAGGAGTCGAATCTGGGAACAGAAGGAGCCCAGGGCAGTGGGAGTGCAGGTGGAGATAAGTTTGAAGAGGTAGGTTGAGGCCTGATAACGCAGGAAGCCACGAGGGAGCAGTTTGGGTTTTTTTACAATGGGAGACAGCTGGAGGGTTCTGCTCCTGGAGGTGATGGGGTCTTAAT